GCCCATAATACAAAAGTATTTAAATTTATTCCTCTTATGCCTATTACTGGGCTGGAGCAATAGCATAGTAGGTAGGGCGTTTGCCTTGCATGCAGCTGACCCGGGTTCGATTCCTCTGCCCCTCTCGGAGAGCCTGGTAAGCTACCAAGAATATCCTGCCCACACAGCAAAGTCTGGCAAGCGCCCAGTGAAGTGTTTGATATGCAAAAAAAAAAAAAAAAAAAAGTAACAAGTCTCACAATGGATATGTTGCTGGTGCCTGCTTGAGCAAATCGATGAACAACGGGAGGACAGTGCTTCAGTGCAGTCTATGCCCATTACTATTATCTTTCTAATAGTACTAGTAGTACTAGAGGGTAAATCAAATTCTAACATGTCAAGTTTATGCCTTAAACTTTTCCTATTAACACAATATTAAACCTTTGATTCCCAGAAGCAATACACAAAGTGGGGAGGAAGTCGTTACTCCAGAGGTTCTGTGTAGCATATCTCTCGAGACTCTCCTCTGAGAGGCAGTCTTGAAAATCCTGAATGTTCATTCCAGCCACAATCCCTGAGAATAGTAGCATTGCATCAGGAATAAATAACTTAGTAAAATATTAGTAAATTCTGAGCACAGACCTGTGTGTACAGCAGTTTATATAAGAAATATCCAAATACTTTTCTCAACAAATTATAATTGTTTTAGATTAGCTAACAGTCAGCTGGAAAAAGAAAAAGCAGAATTAATCCATCAGATAGAAGTTAATCGAGAGCAAGATGGAGCTGAACACACCATACTTGGTAATGTATTTTGTCGAGCTTATATCATGCTAATATTTTTTCTTTACTCTTTATTCAAATTCATTTTATCTCTGGTTGCACATTTTTCAGCATCAACTTTTGTCTTTGAAGTAGCTGTTTTTCAGTTGAATCACTGTAAATTAATCATTCATGATTGAGCTTCAGATGTACACATTGCTCGCACCCAACCCCTTCATTAGTGTCCACTTCCCTCCACTAGTGTCCCTGGTTTCCCTCCTGCCCCCGACCTGTGTCTGACAGGCATTTTTTTTTTCTTTATTTTCTAAACAACCCCCACCCTCACCCCACCACCACCATCTTTCTTTCCTCTTAGGCACTGTGGTTTACAAAGAATTTCAGCTGTTTTCATTATTACTGAGGCAATGTGGTGTATAGTACTGTCTATACTTTTGGTGTATACTTTGCCACCCTCACCATCAAAGTATCAGAAACCCTCCACAACTGTCCTTCTCTCACTTCTAGTTGGCCCCATCCATCTCTGCTCCCACTCCAGACCACTTCATCCCACTTGGTAATCCCAGTTCCGTTAGGAGCTAAGGGTTTGCTTTCACTGGACACTGTCCATGCCCTGCCTTGTTTCTATGCCACCAGCATCCAGCATCTGTCCTCCTTCTGACTTACTTACCATGACACCCTGTGGTTTCACCCACGCTATAGTAAAAGATTTCATCTTCTCTCATAGCTTAATAGTACTCTATCATGCATATATCAGTTTCTGTATCATTCATGTCATTGGGAACTGGTGACCTACGTTTTTTGTTTTTTGTTCTGTTTTGGTCTTTGGGTGACTCTTTAGACAGTGCTCAGAAACCACTCCTGACAGTGCTTAGGGGACCATATGTGATACTGAGCATCAAATCCAGGTCAGCCGCTTTCAGGGCAAGTGCCTAATCCGCTGTACGGAGTCTGACTACCTGTAAGGAAATTTCCAACCCTTGTATTTCCTATTTTCTTTCTAAAAGAGCCTTAACTTTATGAAATGTTGTAGGTATCTTTATCCTTTAAATAGGGTGGTCCATATTTTGTATTTCATACTGTCATATTATTAAAGGTCAAAAGCAAAAACAAGAATAAAAATAAGTGGTCACTAACATAACTTTTACAAAATGTGATACATACAGATACATAAAATATATACATATATCATTCCACGGATTAAGACAATTAGCTCAACATGGCATCTCATGACTAAGAAAACAATAGTAAAAAATCATTAGAACTTTCTGCAAAAGTTAGGGAAGCTCTAAAAAGTATGTGTTTGTCTTCCAAAGGAAAGGTGGGTACTGCTGATTCTATTCCCATAAAAAAGGAAGAGTAAAAGTAAAGTACTTGTCTCCAAATTTATAACTAGGTAACTGTACAAGGGCACCTTAATAGAATATGCTTTTGTTCCAGTTCTGTAAAACTTTTTTGCTGATCATTATTTTCTCAGATTCTGTAATTTTGAAGTGGCTGCAAAATATAAATATACTATATCTTAAATATAGTCCTTTAAAAAATGCCTCTAGCAAAGATAAAGAAAAATAAACTTCGCTGTTTAAAATTAAGCACTGGTGCTGTTTAGTAAGCTTTTTTCTACCAAATATCACGACAGTTATTTTTGATTATCCATCCTGCCTACCATGTTTTGCATATGGTGATCTCACAGGAAATATGTACTAAGCTGTGTAGAGTAGCCTGTGTATATGGTCAGGGTATGGTAATAGCTCCTTGATAACCTCATTCTTTGATGTATAATTAGAACCTGACACATATTCCTGATTCAGAATCCTTTAAAAACTATTTTCATGTGTGAAAATTAGCCTGACTCTAAACTTCTGATAACTGCTTCCACTGTCTGCTAATTATCTGCAATTACAATGCTAATTTTTCAGTAATAAAATGCCATGTTTACCAAGCCCTAGATTGTTACCCTTTGTGCCTATGTCCTATAATAAAATCTGTAATTTGAACTTTTTTTGGGAAAACTAGTTAATTTTTCTAATTTTTTAGCAGATGATGACCACTTAAAGGAAAAGGTAAAAGATCTAGAGACACAACTCAAAACCTCAGATTTAGAAAAGCAACATTTAAAGGTAAAAATATTAACTTCTTATAATTATGTAGTATTATATTTTATGGGGTGGGGCTGGAGCGATAGCACAGCGAGTAAGGGGTTTCCCTTGCATGCGGCCAACCCGGGTTTGATTCCTCAGTCCCTCTTGGAGAGCCTGGCAAGCTACCAAGAGTATCCTGCCCGCACAGCAGAGCCTGGCAAGTTCCCCTTGGTGTATTCAATATGCCAAAAACAGTGATAACAAGTCTCACAATGGAGACATTACTTGTACCCGCTCGAGCAAATCAATGAACAGGAGGACAGTGCTACTATATTTTATGAAAACATCTTTTGAAAATTTTTGTAATAACCATCATTGAGTTTTTAAGGAAGTATCCTTAAAATTCCTGGTATTGAATTTTATACTTATATCAGACAAATGCAAAGGATTAAGAAGTATATTTTATCTTTTTTGTCACATTGTTTTTTTAATATTTTCTTAAGTTTCAGAATACCCTTTAAGAAAGATGTATTTGTTATGTTTTGTCTCTTGTAAGAAAGCTGTAAATAGAACAATCAGGCAAGAATATAATAAGTGAGTGATCTGGCTATTAATGGTTATTAGAGATGAAATAATCTTTCTTTCATTAGATACATTTTACCTAGGTAGAAAAACTCTAGTTTCCCTGATCATACATTTATATTCAGTTAACCTTTATTAAAAATTAAACTTATAAATATAAATGAACCTTAAACCAAATATTATTAAAACAACTTCAGTGCTGTGAATAGCCAAGTCTTTTTGACTACTTTATTGAAAGTATTGATACAGTTTTGGGCAAGAAAGGAATTGTTCCCTGCATACCCAGCTCCAAGTAATATGAGGATAAATTTTAGTCAAATATCAGGACAAAGTTTATGGAATCATTTGACAGTTAACAAATTAGCTTATACAAATAAAACATTTTAATCATATGTTAAGATTTCCGCAAAATCTATCTCCCTAGGTATATTTTGACTATTCACATTACTGAGGATAGGCACTGATGTATGTAATTAAGTCTCATGTTTTTTTTTTGACGGATGAGCCCACACCTGGCAATGCCCAGGGCTTATTACACCTAGCTTGGGGACCATATGTGGTACCAGGGATCAAAGCCAGGTAGGCTGCATGCAAGCCAAGTGCCTTACCCACTGTACTAAAGAGTGCATTATATCCTAAAGATAATATGTTTCTATTTAGGAGGAAATACAAAAGCTAAAGAAAGAACTGGAGAATTTTGATCCTTCGTTTTTTGAAGAAATTGAAGATTTAAAATATAACTACAAAGAAGAAGTGAAAAAAAATATTCTCTTAGAAGAGAAACTTAAAAAACTTTCAGAACAATTTGGAGTTGAATTAACTAGTCCAGCTACTGCTTCTGAACAGTTTGAAGATGAAGAGGAAAGTTCTTCTAATTTCCCTGTTTATTAAGGGACACCTATAACTGGAATTTAACTTTTTAACTTCATGTTAAAATTCCATCTGGGAATCAAGTATGTCTGACCTACATGATCTCCTTCCCAATAATGTATTATATAAATTGGAATTTTTAGTAAACAAACACATGAAATATTGAACCATAAGGAAAGTATATATTTTTAAGAGATTTTTAAATAAGTTGTGACTAGCAAATAGGCAATGTGCTACGGAGAAAATTCTGTACATTCATAATATTTCAATTAAGTGTTTAAAAAAGTATGAGGCTGTAAACCAGTAATTTTGACATTTTAAAACTGTTTAAGGTTCTCAAGTATATTTTATATATATATATACATTGTATGTACAAATAGGAGGTTGAGCCATGTTTTATTAATAATTAGCAAGATTAGGTTTAAACTAATTTAAAAAAAAGTCTAAAATTGGTTTTAAGTTGTTCTGTTACAGTACAAGAAATCAACCCCTATACAAACCGGGGGCCTTACCGTTGCTTATATTTTTTAAGTCCACAGGCTTATATGCTGATTTTGAATAAAATTTTGAATAGATATCTGCAACTGTGGGATTTGTTTCTTCAGATGTAAGAAGACTCATATTAAGACACTGAACAAGTAGACACCTTGAATTATTTTACCTTTTACGTATGGCAAAACATTCAAGATTAAAATGTAACAATAATAAAGCTGGATTTAATTGCATTTCCAGTTTATACTTCAAGTATTATATCTCTGAGCCTACTAAATTTCTGATTATCTATTTTTGAAAAATAATAAAACAAACTTTTAGTATCAGAGTCATAGTCATATTTGTTTAGGTTCATGTTGATGACAACTGGTTTTGAATTCATATAAGGATCTGGAATTGGCCAGCATAAACCGAGATGATGGCGATGAACCTGTAAGAGAAAAGAGAACATTAGCTCTAGTCTGTTTTATCTTCACTCACACATAACTCCCAGATATACACTTGGCCTTCCACTTGATCTTACCCTTGTCTTTATCATAACTATTCTCCTGACATATCATGTACTTTGTTTACTGCCTGTCTTCTCTATGAGAATATGAACTTCATGAAGGCAGAGACATTGTTTTGACAACTATAGTTCCAGCACCTGGAAACATACTGGGAACATAATCACGGGCTCCTTAAAATTTTTCTGAATAACCATTTGCTGCTGAAGACCAAGGGTAGCAAACTGAATATCATGGACAGGGAGGATTCTAATCAAAGGATGTATTGTGTGGCTGGCTGATTTTTTTTTTTCCCTTTTCTCTTGATTTTGTATGCTCTAACTAATTGCAATGTGGGAGTGTTTGGGAGATGACAGTGGAGAGCAATTGTGTAAAGTTAATGTCACTAACAGTTTTATGTACCATGGTAGCATGAATATGCCACGAATGGATAGGAAAGGAATAAGTGCCAGATAATGTTTAGGAGAGTGATATAACTTAAATATGAATCTCACCTTAATTATGAGTCATGTGATTAAGTTGAAGTGTACAGATTCAACAGGATATATAAAAGAGGGGGATTAAAAATGATAATGAGGCTTAAGTGATAGTTCAGGGGACTAGAGCTCCTGACTTGCCAGGTTTGAGCCTCAGTACCACATGATTACCCAACACTACCTGGAATGAGCCCTAAACCATCGAGCTGGGAAAGGAGCTGTGGATACTGTGGGTGTGGCCCCACAACAACCAAAATATTAGCTTCAGAAAATAACTGGGAGTCAGGGAGCTGGTACGTATAAGTCCTGCTTTATTATTAATATTATTAATATTATTATTTTAAGTAGAAGTTACTCCTGAAAGTGCTGGATGCAGGAAGGAAGCCCAGGGGTAATACTCAGAGCCTCATGCATGCTGGGAATGCACTCTACTCCCCAACTGATGCTAGATATATGCTATCGTTCACCTTGGCACTCCTACAAATTTCTTAAAAATTCTGTAACCAAGTAAATATGGGAGACGCTGAGTTAAATTAGTACAGAACATGTCAGAGCATTATTCTACAACATGACTTTAAAAAAAGGGGATACGTAGTACATACACATAAAGGATTTTAATTTCGCCAATACATATTAGAATACTGCAACTTGTGGGATATTTTAGTGGCATTTCTGTTTTAAGATCTTAACATATAATTACAGAAACTGCTTTCTGTGTTACCTTGATTAAGCAGCCATCACTGCAATGCCACACTATTCCTTCAATTTTACCCTCTCTGCAACCTTCAAACCAGGACAATAGATCCCTCTGCCTTAAGGGAGGCAGATTTCTTATTTGAAATGCTCCATGTGGTATAAGAAAATGTAATGGATGTTTCTTGCTTCCTAATCCTGAAAGGTAAAAAAAACTGCTGTTAGCCATACACAGTGTTCAGGAAAAAAATATTTAAGAATTTACATTTCTAAAGTAAAAGAAAATAAAGCATTTAAAATAACTTAGGAATAAATTGTTATTTTTTCCTCCCCAGAGCCAGGAAATAAACCCAGGGCCTCCTGTGTTCTGTGGCTGAGCCATGTCCCTAGCACACACTTGGAATAAATTTACGAAAAGTTTAACTGATTGCTTTCAGACTGATTACTACAATGCTTCTCACAGCAACATGGCACCTTCTCTATTAATCCAAATTCTACCTTCATACTATACAAGAGTAGGAGCACTATGACCTACAGGCCAAACCTGTTGTTACAAATAATTTCTATAAAATACAGTTACAACTGGTCGGCTCTGTACAGTCTACAGCCTATTTCTTGCATCACAAAACGTGAACATTTACTATCTGTTCTTTCACAGATAAGTCCACCAAACCCTGCTCTATGCTGATAGCCACATCCAAATATCATTAAGGGTATGCCGAAGAGCAAGGTCACCCCTCAGATAGCTTGTATAATTTACAATGCTGGGTTCTTTCTGCTTCTCAATCAGTCTGCTTCTGGATTTTACTCTTCCAACTGCAATGTCTCTGGGCCTCTCTTCATCTCCTATCTACAACATATTCCATAATGCCCTTGGGACTTTTACTCAATTCACTATAGTATGTATTTTGATGCCCGACATGCTATCCATTATCAGTTACTATTAGTTATTAATACTAATTACCTAGCTATGAAACACATAATTTTCAATAAATTCAGTATACCTATTTTATAAACCAGCAAAGTTACATATAATTTGCATAAACTTGTATAATGTTATGGGATGTCATAGCACTGTAACTGTTCTATAATGTTATAGGAAACTTCAGAGAGGTTTGGATTAATAAGTCAATATGCTAGAATCTTGGGGCTGGAGCAATAGCACAGCGGGCAGTGCGCTTGCCTTGCATGTGGTGGACCCAGGTTTGATTCCCAGCATCCCATAAGGTTCCCTGGCACCGCCAGGGGTAATTCCTGTGTGCAGAGCCAGAAATAACCCCTCTGCATCACCGTGTGTGACCCAAAGAGGAAAAAAAAAAGTCAATATGCTAGAGTCTTGTAAAAATTATTCCATGGATGCAAAACAGAAGTGGTTATAATAAAGAAAATTATTTAAAACAAGTTTGTTAGTGACATGTCATGGGGGGGAGTGGGATGTGTGTTTTAAAAATCCTAAGAAGTTCTCTTTATGACAGTTACTAACCCTGATCAGGAAAAAAAAAATTTACTTACCATATGGATTTCCATTAATATTTGTTCCTATAAGCTCCAGTGTTTGTTCTAAGAGTTCTGATAAGGGCACTGCACTAATTTCCAAAAGGCCAAGATCATCAGGATGATGCTTCAGTACCAAAGCAATCCCAAGTTCATAATTAACTACTGAAGAATGCCAGCAATACTGTTTGTTGCTCTTTTCTACTGGTACCCAACCTATCATGTAAAGAAAGGCATTTTTAATCACATTGTTTTACTTTGGAAGATCTTTTGAAGATATTTTTATTTCAGGTATACATTTTCCTTTTTCTGGAATAAAAGTCAGTGTGTGTGTGTGTGTGTGTGTGTGTGTGTGTGTGTATGTGTGTGTATGTGTTTGTGTGTGTGTGTGTTTGAAAGCTTTAAAAAAATTGTTATTTTTATTTATTTGGGAAGAGACGGCTTAAGATCTGGCAGAGCTCTAGAGTGAATTCTGGTGGTGCTTGGTGGACCATAATATCTGGTGCTGCAGATTCAAACCTGCACTACAACAGTCTTACCGCCTATACTATGTCTGGCCATTATTATTTTTTTTTAATCAAGTTTTTTTCTACCTTCTCTTTGGTTCCAGGGACAAGAGACAAGTCTAAGTTTTCCAAAAACATTCTTCAGACATACTAGGGTTTATATGCCAATGTGACCATCCTGGTTGGCTTTCATTACTCACCCAAGCCACAATAATAACCTCTTTTCTGGTCCACTAGACTCCACAGAAACTTATTCACCTTTTATAATAGTTCTTTTAAGAAAAATTTAAATTTATCGGCCATAACCATGATGCCAAGGATAAACTCCAAGATTCCCTGAGATGGGATACAAATTCCTAAACTTAGCTGGCTATATGTATGCCAGTAATCATCTCCTGGAGAAACTTCAAATTTTTGATGGGATATGAAGTCCTTTAACACCTGAGTGCATTCCACATCTCCAGTCTCAATGTTTACAATCTCAAGTACCAGGATCCTCTAGCCAAAATGAAGTGCTACATAAGATTCCCAAGACCCCAGGTGCTTTCCTCTTTTGGGGAGCTGACCTGCCTATCAACTCCCAGGTTCTCAAGTTTCGGTACAGTCCACTCTACAGAGAAGTCTCCAACTCCCAGACATCAAAACAAATTCCTCCTCCTTTCTCCAACTATATCCTGTTTTGTTCCTTTTATTTCTTAACTTATATTGGTAATTTCAAAAAAGATGAGTGAGGGTAAATAAGGCTTCCGAATTACTAGGAACTAAGAGTATTATGTTCTTAATAGGTACTCATGTCCTGCTTGCTGAACTGGACTTTAATAAGGGGTTATCATCCTACTCAGCATACATTCACAATTTCTTCCATGCCAGAAAAAAATACTTGTGAGACACTATTTCCTCCTGCTTTTTGTTTAGATATTTCCTGGGATCTTCCTTTATTGTTCCCAATATAAAAGGCAGAAATTTCTGAATTATCTCACGAGATTAAGATCAATTATAATTTATCCTGATAACAACTTCAAGGCACTCCCATTCAACAGTTTTTTAATTTTCACAGATTACAGAAAGCAAACTATGCATCTTAGAAAATATTTTAAGCCTAAGGGGATATCCTTGATATAAAACACCTTTGATATGTCTCATGTACTAAATCCATAAATGACTCAAATTGTGTACTGCATAAACATTATACTGGATCAGATTAAAATGAAAAATTTAATTTCTGAGTAGTGGAACTTTTGTTCTTTTTTATAACAGTCAACACAAAACTGCCCTTCAGGAGAAATTTTTCATACCAGGAATGTGTCCATTTTCATCAGGCATTGGGTTCCCATTTAACTGTTCTATTTCCTTCGCTGGTATCCAGCACTCTGGAACAGGTTTGAAGTCTTCCTCAACATTCCAAAAAAAATCTAAAAGAGTTAAATAATCTTATATATGGAAATACTTTAAGGAAAGTACTGGGGGAAAAAATCAATATAGGAACAGCTATTAAAACACCACAGTATTACCATCTGTCACTATTTCAAAATGATTCTACTTCCCAGTGTTAGGGTACTAATACATGAATTATTAAACACACCACCTAGAGTCAGAAACAGTCTACTAAAGTAGCTAATAGTCCAGCATGTATACATTTATGAATTTTAATAAATTCAGAATACAAGTACATATTCAATGAGTCTACGTAGCCATTTCAATTAATGTGGAGAAACGTTACTGATAAACATTTGCAACTTATGACACTTACAAAATACCATCTTTTAGCCAGCCCAAATGAAAATTTCAGTTGTTTTAGTATGTTTTAGTAAAATTAATGTACTATAATATAAGGCCCTCCCGTTGTTCATCGATTTGCTCGAGCGGGCCCAGTAACGTCTCCATTGGAGACTTTGTTGTTACTGTGTTTGGCATATCAAATACGTCACGGGGAGCTTGCCAGGCTCTGCCGTGCGGGCAAGATACTCTCGGTAGCTTGCCGGGCTCTCCGAGAGGGGCAGAGGAATCGAACTCGGGTCGGCCATGTTGGCTGCGTATAAGGCAAACACCCTACCGCTGTGCTTTAAGTCATAGAAATATCAGGAAGAACTTTTGGGGCGGGGAGCGGGCTGAGGACCTTCCTGGTGACAAGCAGTCAGTGGTTCCATGCCAGTCTCCACAGCTGCAGGACTTGGCCACCCCTGTCCTGCTTAACAGCCTCCAGACAAGCAGGAAACCATTTTTAGCTACTTTCGAGAGGATTCTCTTACATATAAAAAGGGCTTAAGGGTCTGAAGCGATAGCACAGCGGGCAGGGCGTTTGCCTTGCACATGGCCGACCCAGGTTCGATTCCCAGCATCCCATATGGTTCCCCGAGCACTGCCAGGAGCAATTCCTGAGTAATTCCAGAAGTAATCCTGCTGGGTGTGACCCAAAACACAAAATTAATACATATAAATAAGTAAAATGGGCTTAAATTCGAAAATGAACATTGATGATGGAAACATCTTTGGTATATATGGTTAAATCTCGCATACACTTATACTGGTACTTTGTGTAGTATTAAAAAAAAAGAATTAAACACAATGTACTTTCTGGTTGAACTTTTTGTTATCTATACCAGTGAAATATAAAAGAATGTAACAAGAAACACAACAGCAAAAAATAAGCACAAATTTCACCTTTTAAATCTTGAAGAACTAAAAAACAAAAACAAAAACTCACCTTTTGAGCTCTGTTTTGAATGCTGAAAGTTTTTAAATCTTTTCTCAGCGAGTTTGTTAGGTTTTCTGTCTAACCGAGCCCATAGGTATGGTTGACCTAAATAAAAAAGGATAAGCACAGATGTAAAGATATATCTTCAGATTAATTCAGAATGATTTTTTTCAAAAATAGGATAATCTCTTAAAAGGTGCAACGCTAGAAGATAAAGGGAAATAAGAATGCAGTTAAACACATTCATAAAGGGCATGAGATAAAAGATATATATGTGTGTGTGTATATATATTTATACACACACATATTTATATACATGACCCCTTCATAAAAGCATTCCAAGGTCCTATTTTTTTCAGAGAGTAGCATTTATGAGAAAATAAAGCTATCTTCATACTAAATAGAAACATAACCACATTACTGTTTATACTGTTTCTGAAGCATTCAAACTGTGCTACGCGCTTTAATTCCTAAAGCATTTAAACTTTGGAAATGGTGTGTTCTTTGGTCAACACCTGGTCAAGGGACAATAATGGTGATGCCATGAAATCACATATGACTTCTCAAGGCATTTCCGATGGCATGGTGCCAGCATTCTTTGTCACATCAAGATAGAGGAGCTGCTCCTAGCCTCAATAAGCATCTTGGAGGCCCTGCTAGTGAGGATGGATAAACTTAGAGGATTTCCTGACCATTAAAATATAAAGACCCTCCCATTGATCGTTGATTTGCTCGAGCGGGCCCAGTAACGTCTCCATTGGAGACTTTGTTGTTACTGTGTCTGGCATATCGAATACTCTCGGTAGCTTGCCGGGCTCTCCGAGAGGGGCGGAAGAATCGAACTCAGGTCGGTCATGTTGGCCGCTTGTAAGGCGAACGCCCTACCCGCTGTGCTATCGCTCCATCTCCATTTTGGAATCCTTGCTTTGAAAAGTGGAGACTGCACAGGTCAGCAGCTTCTGACTAGGGGCCTGGGGAGACGAAGAGGAAAACAAAGAGGAAGTAAGGAAAAGGGGGGGTGGGTGAGGGAAGGAGGGACAATAAACAGATTTCAACTGGCCTCTCCAGACTCCTGGCTGTGCAAGAGTCTTTGCAGGTACCCCTCTTCTTCCAGTGCCCCTGCTAAGTTGTGCATCCTTTACAGGCATTAAGTGGGGGATCTGTAAACATCATCTTGTTGCTTTCTATATGTTTTGTTTTGTAAGCAATTAGGTGTGACCAGAGCAATAGTAAAGCAGGTAGGATGTGCTTGCCTTGCATGTGACTGGCCTGCATTCAACACCTGGCATTCTATCCAGCCCCTGAGTCTACCAGAAGAGATCCCTGAGTGCAGACCCAAGAGTAAACCCTGAGCACAGCTGGGTGTGACCCCAAAACAAAACGAAAAAAAGCAATGCATCCTTGTTTCTCTACCATGTTCGACATAACTATATATACTGATGCGCATTAAAGTTTCTCTCTTTCTCTCTCTCTTCCCTCTCCCTCTCTTTCCTTCTGTCGTTTTTGTTTCTGGCCACACCCAGCAGTGCTCAAGGATCACTTCTGGCAGGGTTTCAGGGACCACCTGAGATTTCTGGGATTGGAACTGGGTGAGGTATTGTCAAGGCAAATGTCCTACCCACTGTACTAAAAGCTGAATACAAAAGCCTGACAAGTTTTGCAGTTTTTTCCTTATAACTCAGAAGAATGTTTTAAAACATTGATTATATTTGGTTCGCAATTTCTGCAGTACATGTTTGCTATCCAAATAATAAGAAACAGACTAAAATTGCATTAAAATTTCTAGTTGAATGGATCTTTTGTTCTTTTAGTCAGTAAATATAAAAAAATTCATTTACAGCTATTAAAAATGACAACTATTAAAAAAAATAGAATTAAGATGTGAAGAAACTGGAACCTTTGCACACTCCTGGTATAACATACAACTGGTAGAACTGCTATGAAAAACAGAATACTAGTATCCATCAAAATATTGAAAACGTTTCAAAAGAGTGCTACTTGTATACCATATTCATTGTGTTACTGTACATTATAACCAAAAGACAGAAGCCTAAGTGTAATCTGCTGGATAAATGGATAAACAAAATATAGTAAATAAATAAATGGAGTATTATTTAACATAAAAAAGGAATATACAAAGAAAGATAAAAAAAATATAGAGAGAGACTAATATCCAAAGACAGTAGGAACAAGGCCAGAAGAAACTTCATGAATGCCACAAGTGTGTATGTGTGTGGACTGGGGGCACAATTAGGATAGACAAGGGACCATTATGCCAATATGACAATGATAGTTGGAAATGATATACTCTGGAAGAGAACTGAGTGCTGAAAGTTGGTAAAGAGATATATATATGATAACCTTTCGGTACCTGTATTGCAAACCTTAATGCACAGAAGAGAGAAAATGAAGAAAAGTACCTGCCCCAAGGGCTGGCTGGGGAAGGGGAATAGAGGGAGGGAAACTGGGGACACTGGTGGTAGGGAAATGTACATTGGTGAAGGGTTGGGTGTTAGAGCATTGTATGATTGAAACTCAATCATGATCAACTTTGTAATTGTATATCTCAAGGTGATTAAATACAAATAAAAGAAAGAAATTTTTGTTTTGCTTTGGATTTGGGGCCACACCATGGTATTGGAGGGGATGGGGGCTCCTCCTGACATGCTCAGGACATCATGCAGTGTGGGGGATCAAATCTGGGCTTCCATCATGCAAAGCGAATAATCTCCCATTCAGCTTACTGACCTGCATCTTCAAGCCAGAGAGAAAACTTTGTATGACTGAACCCTGAAGTATGCTAAGTGAAATAAGCCAGACGCAAAATGACCAACACATCACATTTCTATATACAATGCAGTTAAAATCATAGAGACAAAGTAGATGGTGGTTAGCAAGTGAATGGTGAGTTAATGAGTACCAGGTTTCCATTCTGCAAGATGAAACACACTCTGGAGATGATGGAAAGGGGTGAGAGCACAACAATGTGAATGACACAATCCCTTGAACTACATATTAAAATGGTCAACATGACAAATTTTATGTTCTGTGTATTTTATCACAATTTCTAAAAGGTTTATCATTTCAAAAGGTATCTCTTGACACTAGGAATTTCTGTTCTATTTACTTCTATCTCAAGTTGAGAGGAAGAAATCAGTTCTTAAGGTTTTTTCCAACACATTTTCTCCCTAAAAATAGCTGTTAATTTCCACTTGAGTTTCTGTATTTTTTAGATACATTAACTTATGGATAACTTCCAAATAATAACAGTATTAATGTCAGCACCAAGAAAAAAAGAATAAGAGAAGCTTTAGGGTCAGACAAACCTAGGTTCTAGTACCAGTTCAGTTATTCATTAATTAAACAGTCTTGATTACTGAAACTAAGATCTCTGAGTTTTAGTTTCCTTATCTGTGAAATGGAGAGGCTTACTATGTAAATTACAGATAACACGTATAAAGCATTTATCATACCATCTGGCCTTTAAGAAGTATTAAGTCATTATGAGTACTGCCTTCCTTTTCTCCCCAAAGAAAAAGATACACTGAAGACAAATATAATATGAGTGTGGGTTTATTAAGCTAGTATTCTCAGGTTTCCAAGGTTTTATCAGGAGCACATGCCCTGTTCAAGAAAGTGTTTAGAGTGATTAAGAAAGAACAGTAACATTTGGAGTACAGTATGATTTTACCTTTGTAGGTAGTAATATAACAACATGTTCCATCCACTTTTTCTGTTGGTATTGCATTGTATATATCTGCCTCTAATGCCTTGTGATTTATAGTTTCGGTTGCCAAAACTTTAAACGGCTTAAAAAAGAGAGAGAAAAAGAACTGGTTTAAAACAGCCTCTGTCTTCACACACAATCTCATCTAGTAAGTTCTAAATTTCATTCATTCTAAGGGATGATCTGTTTATATTCTTCAGTCACTTTAAAACTACTACAAGACTCATCCCGCCCTCCTTGGCTACCACAGCAATGTCTGTTGGCACGGGTTTAGAGTCATTCACATTTCTCTGTCCATCATAAAGATTGAATGACCGGGACGACATCCCATGAAGTGCTGTGTGTCTAGCACGGGTGTTCACATTTGATCATTCACTTGATAGTAATTACTGGTCAAATCCCTTCTATGGGTTAAGAATTGTCCTTGGCAGCATTGGTAAATATAAATATAAATAGAGGGGGGTGGGGAAGGGGGAGGTGTAGACAAAGCACGCATCCTTTTTAAACTTTCTTTTTAGTGCAAGAGAAAACAAGTGACAAAGTGTCAGTAGGTGTGATAAGTGCAAAGGGGAAGTGGAGGTGGAAAGGGCACTCAGCTCTATCAGCACTAAACTGCTTGCATATTAAATCATATTAAATGTATGTTTTTTTCTATCATTAGGTAGAAAAACTCAAAGAGTACGAAAAATGGGGGGGGGGGGGGTGCTCAATAGTTCAATAGTTCCTGGCAACATTTATCTGTAATTTATTTTCATTTCTGAGAAAAACTTAAGTCACTGTTTCATATCCTATATCGTTTGAATTGACATTCATGATTTACATAATGTGAAACAAAATGCTATACAATATTACAATATACACATTAATTAGATGTATATCGGCTTCAGTCTAATAAATGGAAGTACCATTAAGCACATAAGGTATGACCCGTGTGTGTGTGTGTGTGATGTGAGATTTTAGAGAAATTACTCAACAATTATCTACCACTCTTGGCTATCAATATATCCAAAGGATCTTCTAAGATACCAAGAGGCAGGGGCTGGAGATGTAGTACAGCAGACAGGGCGCTCGCCTTGCATGCAGTGGACCCAGATCAATTCCTGCACATCCCATATAGTTCCCCTAGGGTCTCCAAGAGAGATCCCTGAGCACAGAGCCAGGATACCTGTGTGAGTGTCCCCTCAAAATATAAAAAGTAAAAGATACCCAGAAGTTCATAAAGTTCCCCAACTTGTCATCACGCATCCCTGAGCACCTGCCCCGTAACAAGGTGTATGTTTCTGAAAAGTAAAGACCGACTTAATTTTTCTCTTCTACATCTGGACACAAAAATGATTGGGATAAAGAGGTTGATCAAAGATTATTTCATAACAAGTATTTCATAGAGTACACCTGTTTCAAAAATATCAAAAATTCTGGATGTGATCCAGACAGTGTTTCAGCCAAGCAAAAATAAAGAAGAGGAAGGATTATGCTTTTCATGTTAACAAGATGAATACACTTCGCTGGAGCAGATTTCACTTCCACAGCAAAGAGAAGACTGGGACGGATCAATGGTTAGATTGATAGATCAATGGTTAGAAGTCTTGAATGAGAGTAAAGAATGTATATGCTATAAAGAATATTATTAGTTATTATTAACAAAACAGGGCCAAGAGAAAAGGCTTATTTTTCCTGCTAGAGGGTGCTTCTACAAACGAACTCTCCCCCACCCCCACCACAAGCACACATGGTAGTGGAGCACCAGAACCAGACTCAACCACTATTCAGGAGACAAAGTTTCATGGGGAATAGGTTTGTTACAGTAAGAAACCCAAAAGCTTGCCAACTACTGCTACAGACATTGAGTAGTAACCAAATGGGGAGTTTTAACTAGGAGCAAAAAATGTGATGATGATTCTGGGTGTATCAGAAAAATTAGTCCGATAAACAGGATATAATTGCATGAAAATGATGAAACAGAAGACAAATATATATATATTTGATATATATATATCTTATTTGGGAGCCACACCTGGTGGTGCTCAAGAGTTACTGCTGGTTCTGCGTCAGGGAATTATTCCTGGCAATGCACAGGGGAGCAAGTGGGTTGCTACCCCCTGTATTACTGCTCTGGCCACAAATTCTTAAAAAATAAAATGACTGTAGGGCTTATGCTTTAATTCAGCAAATATTTACCCAGTGCCTAGTAAGTGTCAGAAAACCAGGTCTAAGAGTAACAGCAGTCCAGGCTTTAAAAATCCCAGTCTTCCAGGAAGACATGGAGGCCAATGGGTACAATTATAAAGGGAAGCATAGGGGTGATGTCAAATGACTTTTTTTTTTTGGTAAGTTGGAAGAACCCAAAAATAACTGAGGCTTCAACTAGCAAAAAACTTCTCTGGGTATTTAAGAGTTATCCTGACACTAGAATTTTTCTGCAGCAGTATTTATTAAGGGCCATTATTGATTAAACATTTACACCAGGAGTTGAGAACACATGTCAGAAGAAGGGGTCAAGGTGATTAGGCAGGTATCCCCACACCGCAAACCAGAGCAGCATGTCATTAAGTAGGAAGGTCCCAGCTTCAGGGATCCGATTGGGCCAGCTGTCCATACAGTGCCAGTGCCGGGTTTGGAACTGGTAAAGCAAGTCCCCCCCCACCCCCACCCCCACCCCCACCCCAAATCTCCACCCAGGCACCACACACCTGAGGAGTAGCAGAGCTTGGATTCGGGTGAGTGGACTAGGGTGAGTAAAGAATAAGTAGAGGGGACTAGGGTGAGTCAAGAGAACACAAGTTCGGAATGAGGTTTTTCCATCTCAAAGTGCTTGATTAAGAATCTGGTCGCAAGGAAAATTCCTGCTCAGCAGATGACATGCAGGTACGTGTAACTGCCTACATGGAAGCAGGATCGAGAACAGGGAGCTCAGGCGGTACGTTGTCTTCCCTCAAAAGCCCCCATGCTACACCTGACCACCAAAACAAAACAAAACAAAACAAACAAACAAAAAAAAACTCTGACGCCCCGCAGAGAAATTCCCACCAGCCACGGTGGCCCGGCCGGGAGCCGGTTGAGCCCTTTGCGTGGTACCTGCTGCTCCCGTTTGCTGGCCGGCTCCTCTTTCACTTCCGTCACGAACGCACACGGCATCTTCCGCTGCACCGACCCCAGGCGCCTCATGCTGGGGCTCCCGGGCTGCGCGGCGGCAGTGGGACAGGACCCGCGACGACAGCCCTCCTGGCCCGGGCCAAGCAACCCGCCTGCCCGCGCCGTCCAGCCCCCGGAGCGCGGCTGGGAGGCGGGAAAGGAAGTGGCCTCCAGCTCGCCGCAGCGCCTTCTGGGAGTTGTAGTGCGGGAGCCTGTGTGCGCTCCCGGGAACGTGTCCCCTCCTAACCACCACTCCCGGGTCCTCCTCACGTTCCCGGAGAAACTAAGTTCCGCGTCCGCGCTCTGTGCGTCTAAGCGTGCTGAATAACCGATCTACAAATGTCTATTTGTAGATTTTTTTTATATATATATATACTAAAACATAGAAAGAGCGAATCACTTCATGTGGCATTTGAACACCATGCTACAGAGAGCAGCAGGTCCTTAAGTATCTTTTGATAGAGATGCTTACTGACCTGTTACCTTTTCAAAGTTCCTAGGGGAAGCACTGTAGACGTTAATAGCCAGAGACAGCTCCAGGCCTAGCGAAAACCGATTTCTGAGGCCTCTAGAAAATAGCAGGTACCAAGCGACGAGAAATTAACGTTAGGCTTACGCTTCTTTGTAACCTCGTGGTGTTGTCGAAATCGGTTCTGATGCTTTTTTGATAGTGTGCAAAGCCTTAGACAAATCCAAAACCATACAGACCTCCAACAATCAGATTTAGAATTTCATTGGTCTCAAAATGAGCTCCGACAGAGTCCCAGAGACTTGAGTAGTTCTCGGTTGGCAGAGATGTTTAAGCAGATTGATTTGATTTAGGACTTGAAAGGCTATTGGAGGGTAAGTGGCCAATGACTGAATAAAATATTAAGTAACAGTAGCTTTTCTTTCTCATTGATGAGTACAATCCCCAGTAGCAGTTGTTTTTTTGAGTTAATACCAATTAAGTTGTGAACTTTAACAAAGCCCAGGCTTCTTTTTTAAAAAAATGTTATCTACGGGTCTACAACTAGAATTTGGAAAAATGAAACATCTCTATCTCCAGAGTTTGGAGATGTTTGTTGTACACAAAGTATTAAGGGAGTACAATTATTGGGGCCGGGGGCCAAGGGGATGGGTTGGATTCACGGGGTGGGGGTGGAGGGTTGTTGGTTGGTCTTTTGTTGTGGTTGTAGTAATGTAGAGGGGAGGGAGAAGGAGATTTTACATTTTAAGTAATTCGGTTATCTCTTTGTTTTTTTCTCACAGGAAAAGTAACCCACACAAAGGTCAAAATATACCCTTTATAAGCCAAGGGGCTGGAGAACGATCTAACGCTGTTTTTGAGATACTGGAACCGGAAATTCGTTCAGATTTTATAATCAACTCCCAGTGATTTTGTTCCCAGAGGAACCCTTGAAAACAAACAACTTGTTTCATGCACCTCAAAAGGGCAGCACTCAAATGACTTTGTCAACTACCAACTGTCATTTCCCAAACTGCCACAGAATCTATTAGGTCCAACATTCTCGGTCATCTCTGAGAAAATATCATCTTCCATTGACATTCCAACTTTTTCTTTGAATAGTACCAGCAAGGCTAGCCATTTCCCAGGAAGAACTCTTTTTTTTTTTTCTTCTGTGCGTGGTTTTGGTCAATTCCTAGAGCAAAATCTCTGCAGAAATTTAGGATTCTAAGGCAAGGGAGAGAAATAGAACCACTAATAAAAGTGTATTCCTGCTCTTTTGGGTTGCACACAGCACCATTCCCTGATTCTCATAAACCTGAAGAGCCAAACAAAGAGTTATTCTCAACCTCTGTACTCAAAATATTGTTACTGGATTACAATCTGGAAGACTTTCATCACTGCCACATGACTGAGTTAATTGTACTAGTTTGTGTAAAAGATGAAATGCATTTAATGTGAGTCTACCTGGCCAACACAAAATATTACAAAATTTTCAGACTTACATCCAACTGCAGAAACAAAGTTTTATTTCCTATCATTTCCTATCATTCTTTTATGGTGGGAAAACATACTCATTGGTATGACCATAGCTTTCCCTTAAAGACCAGAATGAACTTTAGAAGAGATACAAATGGCAAAGAAATGGGAAAAGGGAAATGTTTTCGAAAGGAAGAAATTAAGTCTCCAAGGCCTATTAAAGATACCAATATGCACAGATTTATTTATAGCTCTTGACACGATCATGATCATCCTGTTGTTCGTGGATTGCCTCTTGACAAATGATCAAAAAAAAAAAAACAACTTTGACCTGTTTGCCTGTTAGTGGAGTACTTGTTAAAACAAAGTTCAAGAGGTAAAAACATTTTTCTCAGCCTTCTAAAAGACAATTTTTATCTACAGTTAGAATACACTAAATTAAAAAAAAAACAGTTTGATGGCATTATAATGATACTTCATCCCCAGGATACCTTATTAGATCACCTACTAGGAAAATTTTAATTTCTGCTAGATTAAGCATATTTTAGTACATATGATAACTTGAAGACCTCAATAACTGTTGATTGAAATGCCTGGGAAGAAGAATATTCCACATTGTTTCAACAGATTTTCAAATTTTTCACATATTCTGGAACTTTTCTGCTATAGGAAGAAATTATTCCTACTTTACAACAGATAAAAACTATTGGAATATAGCTACAAGATGAAAAAAACAGTATATTTATTTTTAGCTACTATTGAAATATCAAAATCTGACTCATTTTTTCCACAAAAAGATAAACTGTAAGTAAATATTTAATAATTTCATTAATTTATATTACCATACATTTTTTAGTTTTATTTCAGAACCATCTATAAAAATTGGAGTTTGGAAATAGCTATTTATAAAAGCCTTAATTTTTTAATTATAAAATTACTAACTAGTTTGTTTCATATTTGATCAGAATATTAAAAAATAAAATCTAATTTTCTTACTTAATTTTTGGTTAATATACTATAATTAGTAAGAGAAATATTGTTAGTACTTACTTAGGTAAACTAACCTACAGTTACAAGTGATGTCATTTCTGATGAGCAAACAATGTATTAGGTAACAATGAGGAAAATTCTGGAAGTTTGAGGTTGTGTGTACTAGCAACCACTTTCAACATTTCTGCAAAGCTAGAGAAGGTATCTTCTAATTTAAATTTCTTTAAGAATTATCTATTGTGTAATATATGTCAACAGGAGGTCAGTTTTAAATACTACTGATAGCCTGAAGGACTGTGGAAAAGAAATCCTTTTCCCCCCAACACACTGATAGTTCTTATATTTGCATTCCTGCAATTCTTATACTAAAAACATTTGGATTAGCAGCGAGAGTTGAAAATGGCAGAAGTTGGGAATGACTGCTATTTCTTTTATAATTCCACATGCATAAAGGTAAATATTGTACAATTTACAGTACTTCACATGCTTAAGCTTTTTAGAATGAAGAAAGATATGGCATTAATTTGCGTGACTGAATCAAAATTTACTTTTCCCACAAAATACTTTGTTTTAGAATATAAAGTAAAAGTTTATCATATATTGTGGTACATTAACATTTTTGATAAAGTGTGAGATGATTGATGACTTTTTAGAAATTGCCAATATATATAATTGTGACATGCCGCTGGCAATTTAATCTCCTTTTGATGATTTTGCCTGTTATACCTCCTTGAGACTTCGAGTCTCAATACCGTTTCATTATATGATAGATCATAATCTTGTCTAATGTGATTTCAGTCATATAAATTAAAATTGTTAAATTCAATCATAATAAAACTTATTTTAGTAATTTAAACTGATTTCCTAGTGAAAATTTATTTAACAAATTCTAATTTTCCTGTTAAATGTCTTTAAAAGCAAATATTTGATATAATGAAAATAGAAACAAATAATATAACCAAGCTAGCCAAATGTGAATTAAAGTTTAAAAGGTAAAATTGTGGAAGTAACCTAATTAGTTAAGATTAATGGATTGCAGTGAAGCCAAGAAAATAGTGAACTTTAATGTTTGGAGCTTCATTTTCATGGCAATGAAATTATTAAAGTCACAGTATATCTAGTTAAAAGTCTTTTGTCTCTGCCTAGAAACCTGAATGGAATCAACCACTTTATATGAATTTGACCTAATTTCACTGCCTTTTACCTTATGACTAAACTCTGGGACAATAAATAAAACTTAAATTTATGTCCTTTGTGGGATGAGTTTTGTCTACTTCACTGCCTTACCTTCAAATACTTAGAGCACTTATTTAAATTATTAATTTATTGTTTGTTTATTTGGGGGACTCTAAGCAGTGTCAAGGTACCCTAAAGGTCACTCCTAGATCTACTTGCCCACCCATGCTGGAAGGTTTAATGCTCAGATCCAGGGATACTGCAGGCCCCTCTGGGTTAACCCGGCAATGCTGGGGTAAAGTGACAGAGATTAAACTAGGACCTCCCCATGTCAAAATGCTTGTTTCAGCCCTTAAGTTAATTACCTACCCATAGTACTATTTCTTAAAAATTTAATATGTATTATAAACCATCATATACTTAGATTGCATAATCTTTGAGTAACCATTGAGAAGGGCATTATAGTCTCTTTTCACAATTGAGGAAACTGAAACAGAGAGGATGAGAAAAATATATTAACTTTATGACTAGTCAGGTAAAGGAAACGGAAGTGTATCTAGTCCCTTCCCATTCATCCAACAATACTGTGATCTACAGATCTTTTAGAAGAGGGAGCGTGTAAAGACTGGAGTAAGAGAGAAGCCAGACTCAAATAAAAAATAAAGATGGAATATTTATCAAAGAGACAACTTATATAATATTTTTATTTTAATATTGTTGTTGTCTTGCCTCTTTTCAAAATACAGTGGCCTAGTTTATTTTTCTAATTGTGTATGTGTAGAAGACAGAATTTTAAAATTACTGTTAACTCAGAGTGAGCATTTGCCTCATGGGTTAATCATCCGTAGCAACCACATTTTTTAAAAAAGAGGACTGAGAAGCAGAGCTCTTTAATTACCTTCTTAGACTAGATTAAGTGGAAAATGTTATTGATTTTTTTAATATATGGAAATTTTGACACAGATTTTAAATGTTTATATAAAAATAGGTA